TCCGGCAAGTTGAACAGAGTCAGGTGGTCCCTTTCGCCCCAGGATTCTGCACCGGGTTAGTTGGAAGCCAGCGTGCAGGGTCGACGGCCCGGGCTGGATGCCTGGTTTTCTGTGCGTCTGTTCGGACGTGCTGGGAGGATCGTGTGTGCCTGTATGTCTGTGTCGGGGGGCGGGGGGAGAGGGTGGGGATCATTTAGTTTCTGGTGAGCCGGGAGAGAGGCGAGCTGTGTGTGGGTGTGTGTGTGTGTGTGCGCGCGCGCGCGCGTGTGCGCGTGTGTGTGTGTGCGTGTGAGCGCGCGCATTGCGTGCATGTGAGTGCGCGGGTGCCTGCGTGGGAGCGGACGATTGTGTGTCCGCGCGCGAGTGTCCTGAATGTGTGTGTGTGCGCGTATGTGCCGGCGTATGCTTGTTTGTGCTCCGGCCTGCGTGCATCTAGCCTCGCATCCTGTTCTCAGACTCTGCTCTCCCCACAACATCCGTCCGTCCGTCCATCCATCCATCCATCCATCCTTCGATCCATCCAGCTCTCTATCCTTCCGTCCATCTATCCATCCATTCCTGTGCAATTTATCATTTTTCTTGTTCCGAAGGAGGGAGCCAAAAACCAACTTAGCTTTGGCTGGGCAGCGGGTACCCAGTGCTCTCCAGACAGAGGCTCGGAGAGATGCATACACCTGCCCACAGACACCGCTTAGGAGGAAAGGAAAGAGGGGTCTTTCGCCCTTTCCACCGCCCCCCTCCTTCCGGCGTGGTTTTTGGTGCCATCTCAGCCGCTCTCCCCCTCGGTCCCGAGGGTCATTTTCCTGAGCGGAATCGGGGGTCTTGCGTTCTCCTGGCTACTTCGCACACTTGTTAGGACGTCCCCTAAGACCTCTCTCGCCCCAGACGTAGAGACCGTTTTCTTTCTTTTTACCTCTTTTTGCTTTTTCGTTTGGAAGCAAAACTTAGGAGCCCTAGACAAAAAGGCGCTGATGGAGCCCTAGGCTAATGTTGAAAGGAGGGAGGGGTCTATCCCCCTCCCCTCTCCTTCCCCTTAAAAATTAATTCATTTTGTTGCTTTTTATTCCCATCACGTTTCCTTTTCTCCCTTTTACCCTCCCTTTCTACTCCCTCCCTTTTTTTGTAAATTGGGTCTTATTGTTCCCTTTGTGTCCCTAATCCACCTTACATAAATCCAAATGGATGTAGCAGGCTTTTCTCTGGGGACCAAGAAGAGAGAATGGGGTGGGGGGGAGGCGCGTTGAATCTGGCGGGAGCGACCCAGTGAAGGCTCTACATTTTAAAATAATTAACAGACTCCAGGAATTCAGACTCTTCAGGAAAAACCAGGAGAAAGAGACTGATTTGAACGCCATTGAGTTTGGGGTGAAATGAGAGGGGAGGTGGACAGAATTCAGGGGTCTGGGAGTAAGATTGAGAGTTGGGGTGCACAGGAGCAAGGGTGGAGGCTTCCCATTCCCACCCCTCCCCCAGTCTGAAGAGCCAGCCTCACTGATCAAATTAATAACCCTGTGGTTCCTTTGAGGTGGGCCTTTCCACCCCCAGGCCGGCAGACTTTGGTGGGAAGGGGAACGTGGGGAGGTTTCGAATTTATTGCGTCCCTTTCAATGTCATCCTTACCTAGCACTGTTCTGGCCAGAATGGGGTACGGCAGCTCTGTAGGCTTCCTCTCCCTTCCCCCCGAGCTTTGACGCACATAAGGTGTAGCACAAACACACTAAATCCATTAGGCAGCACTCCATACCTAAAATTCAAACCAGCGATTTCCTCTGGGCAGAGGACGACGCTTCGATTGTCCTTAAAAAGTCCTGGGACAGAGAGACTACTTGAGGGCATTTGCATTCTAATTTTACACGTCTGGCAATCCTCCTTTCTGAAACTTTGATATGCAAAAATGCAGCGGATACCTCCAGAGCTTATTTATTTGGCTGTGGAGGGAAAAATAATGTTAGGAGAGAAAGCCTTTTCATGACCCTTCGGATACTCTCTGATAGAAGATAGAATTCACTTGTGGCTCTGTCACTATGATGAGTTATGTGGTCATCTGAAACTTGCAAAAACAAATAATTCTAGCAGATACCAGACAGAGATGAATGCAGAATTTGCTCTGGAGTGTAACTGCCCTACGTAGATATATTTATTTTTTTGAATTGTACATGAAATTCTCTATTCATCCTTTTTAGAAAAATGAATCAACCGAGTCCTGGGATGGAATTTTAAATGCTAAGCAAGTTAAATAAATAAGAACCTGCAGATTTAAGGAGGGGAGAAGATCAAATGAGTAATGATTATTTACATAAGTGAGACCAAGTTTAGGTTTTGATCAGAGTTGGATATGCGCGCCCTCGGCACATATGGAAACGCTCAGGCAAATGGTTTTTGTATTATTGGCTTTTTGCAATTGGAAATTAATCTATTTTTCTTTGTTTTTTTGCAGTTACTTTATTGGATTCCAGATCTGTTCAGGGAGAACTTGGGTGGATAGCAAGCCCTCTGGAAGGAGGGGTAAGTTCTGAGTTGCTCTCTGATCCAAAGGGTAAAAAAGGAGTGATTAGCAACTTTCTGAAAGTCCTAATGGCTTGATTCTTGTTGATTGTGGTGAGGGGGTCAGATTTCCGCTGTGGCCTATGAAGTGAATTACGCTTTGTTGGAGAAATCCTATACTCCCTTTGGATAGCTCTGTCATGGAAGAACTAGAAACCAAAAGGGCAGAAAGGGGTTTCAAAATTAGGAGATTGGTGGAGGCATAGACTTAGATGCCTATTTAAAACTAAAATACCGACAGGAAATATGATCTGGGTATCAAGTTAGAATGTATGCCTATTACTGTGACGGCCACGAAGTCCTGATGGGGTTAATTTTAGAGCAATTGTTCTGCTTCCAGATGAGAAAAAGGAATAAATAAGGGTACTAGAGAGAAAACATGTCCAATTGTACCTACATAAGCAGCGGGTGGTTCTTTACCTTGCTTTCACAACCTTAAATCAGCTGCTATTCTCTTGAGCACACTGAGAGACAGTCATGCAAACTCGTGTCCAGGGCATCCTCTATGCAGAAAAACCCCAAGCTTGTGCATTGGTGGTGTTAAGTGTGAACAGTGTGAGTGCTTGAAATCTTGGCTTTTTGGGGATTGAGGAGGCTGGAGTATAATGTATGAGGTGTGCGTCACTGTTGATTTCTTCTGGAATGTGTAATACTTGCCATCAGAGCCTCCATCGGAAGATTCAGAGAATATCACTAGGTCAATGGCCATATTCTCCTACCCCCCTTAATAACCAGTCAGAATGAATCAGCTTTGGAAAGAAATCAGTACAACATGTAACTGACTTCTGGCCAGACTGAAATAACCCTCAAATCCTTTAGAAATTAAGCAAATCATCCCACCTCCCCATGCTTGATAGTTTATAATTGAGTCATTTGATAAAAAACAATGGGGTGAAAGATCAGGAGTCTTTACCAGGCAGAAATTAGAATGCTAGCACCCAGCATGGTGCTCCATACCCATCCATTGAGTCAGTGATAAAGGATTAAAAAATAACTATTCATAGAAACTGTTATGGATGATGCGTTTCAAAAATAAGACCAGGCAAGAAAATAGTTATGAAAGTGGGAGACTTTTATTCTGTCTTCTTCCAAAGCAAGTCTTGTAATTCAGCTGAAATAAAACAGAGATTGCCCTGCCTTCCTGTTTTTATGCCTGAACTTGACTGCTTCTGGTTTGGTCTCAGCTGAAAAATTCTAGACTACCCTCAAAACTATTTTTTTAAAGGGGGGCAGGGAGTGATTGGCAGGCCACTGGCAGTGTAGACAGGCTGTATTCACCACTGATTGCAGGCAATTGCCCTCATCTTTTGAATGTGAAGAAAGGTACAGCTTTATCTTGGTGAGAGTCAGACTCATTGTTAATCCTATACCCTGGAAAGGTCACTGATTCAGGCGAGGCTTTCCCAGGCTATACCAGGGGTATTGCTTGGTAGGTTAAAATGTATTAGAACCACAAACAAAACTGAGGGTGGAAGATATCAGTACTTGCATTAAAATTGTAATGAACCTTATTTTTCTTACTGACTGCTCTTGTTTGAAGAGAGAGTAAATACATCAAGTAAGATTTAGAACCTGACTTGTTTCACTAAATATACATGTGACCTATATAAAATCAAGGAATGACACATTTTAGGGTACAGTCTGTGGTCTATCTAGTTTCGGAAAAGCTTTTATTTAATATGCTGTAGACATCTTTTTTTTTTTTTCCTCCAAACCTGCTGAAAGAGCACCTGGTTACTTTTTCCAGGCACAAAACTTCTTTTGGTTGTCTTGAAGTCTATTAAAAACTATGCATCGCTGATTGTAAACAATCCAGAACTTTGTATGGGCTGAGTGTAGGCATTTTTTTTCTTTTCCTTAAATATTAGGCATGTAACATTTTAAGTATTAGTTTAAGAGGTTAGAAATGAAATTTTATTTGTTTGTAATAGAATTGGTCATTCAAAAATGCATAGTGGCCATTGAGAAATTGTGTGTCAAATTACAAAGTTTAATTAATCTCCTAGATTTTATAATTAAAGAAGATTTTTTTCAGGCTTACAGTGAAGGGATGTTATCTATCAACAAGGGATGGATTGATTGTCAAACAGTAAGAACAACTAAACAGAACATTAGAGTAGAGGAAAATGATGGTTTCTGATGGCAATATTGTAGCAAAACACTACTTTCCTGGTAATATTCACTTAAAGAAGTCTATTGAATTGCTGACAGTGACTGTAAAATATAAAACTAAGGGAGAATTTGTCATTGTTCTAGTGAATTGATCAATGTGATTAGACAGTTAAGTTCAGCCTGAAAAGTTCACGTGAGACCTGAATTATCCTATATGAACTCTGTGGAGATATCCTGTGTGCCTTTATGTACATTGATATAGGTGTTTTTCAATATTCCCTCTGTTCTGTGATGAGAAGCATGCTGAGTAGGGTTTTTTTTTTTTTTGAAGGTGAGAATCTATTTTTGGATTTACATGAATTTTCTAAAATAAGTAAATTACTGGTGATGTATTGCTTACTGGATAAAAAGAAATTTTAGTCACCACAGGGCACTTTTCCCTCCCAGTTTCAACTTTTATAATGGTAGCAGATGAAAGGGATGCAGAATTTTATTCACAGAAACTGTTCAAATAGTAACGTTTCCATCCATTAATAGTTTTCCAAGGCACAAATGGGAAACCTGTTAAAAGATACATTATGATTCTATGTACTTCAATGAATTGAATGGAACTTTAAGTGGAGCTATTATGGAATACACATTTTTTAAAAATCTTTTTTCTTCTAATTATATTCATGTGTTAGATACTTAAACTGATTTATAGCCGATCTATATCAATGCATTACTGTAGATGTTAATGAAGAATTGGGGGATGTCTAACAACCAGGCTAGTAGGAACCTCAAAACTATATTGCATGCCTTAAACTTATGAGTAAGGAAAATAACGACTTGGGGTGGGGCTGGAATGCTCACTGCTAACGTGAGACAAATTTTTGTGCTGGTAAAGTTTGGCCCTCAGGGGACCCACCTACTTTGTGGGATGCCTGTCTTCCTTAGTTAAAAAAAAAATTACTATCTTGCTATTTTTAGGATTATTTTAAAAAGTTATGATGACAGTGAAACTGTTACTTTAGTCACAGTGAATCTGCTGAATTCAGATGGCCCAATCATTAGACTCTTTGTGTTAAGTAGAATACAAAGAAAATGCTACCATATTCCTTTAAGTTTCTTGGGCCTTCGGTCTTAAATACCACTTGCTATTTTATGTTTAAGATCTGTGAAAGAGTTAGGAGCAAAGCGTGTATGCTTGTTTCATTATGTTTTAAAAAAGGACATGTACAAACATTTTAATTGCATTCAGGCTCCTGAAAAGTTTTCTACTATTATAAATGACAGCATATTTGAGAAACCCAGCCATCTCCTCTCTGTCTTCCCAGAATTACCGAAACCAGAAAGTTGGGATTTTCTTTTCCCCTTTAAAGAGCAGTGATGATGCCAAAAAAATCAATTGCCATTTTTTTTGGTAGGTATTAGAGAGCAAAGTTCTGACAGGAGCACCACTAATTAACTGATAATTGTCTTCCTTTGGCAAGCTCTACTCTTCCTGCCCTTAATTTGCAGGTCTCTGTTCAGTGGTGGAAACAATACACATACTAGTTTTTCATTTATGAGTAAATTTGAACTGTTGCCACTTGAAATTGTAGCTGTTGTAATAGGTGAATTTGAGGTTGTTAGACCACCACAAGGAACTGCTGAGATCTCACAAGCAGTAACTCCACCATTGCTTCTGGATTTTATACAAAAGATTGAAACAATTTTAAAAAAACACTTCCTCAATAAAATATTGTCTTATCTCCCATAAGGTGCTTTATTGGTGATGACTGGTGCTCAGTAGTTTTCTGTAGTATTGAAAGAGAAATAATTGGTGTCTTATGAAAGTAAAATGTAACTGACAAGTCATTGGGTGATGAAACTTTGTTACTGATACATTTCCTTTGGAATTTTGCAGTGGGAGGAAGTGAGCATTATGGATGAAAAAAATACACCTATCCGAACCTACCAAGTGTGCAACGTGATGGAACCCAGCCAGAATAACTGGCTACGAACTGATTGGATCACTCGAGAAGGGGCTCAGAGGGTGTATATTGAGATTAAATTCACCTTGAGGGACTGTAATAGTCTTCCGGGAGTCATGGGAACTTGTAAGGAGACGTTTAACCTATACTACTATGAATCAGACAATGACAAAGAGCGTTTCATCAGAGAGAGCCAGTTTGCTAAAATTGACACTATCGCTGCTGATGAGAGCTTCACCCAAGTGGACATTGGTGACAGAATCATGAAGCTGAACACTGAGATCCGGGATGTAGGGCCCCTGAGCAAAAAAGGGTTTTACCTGGCATTTCAGGATGTGGGGGCCTGCATTGCCCTGGTATCGGTCCGCGTGTTCTATAAAAAGTGTCCACTCACGGTTCGTAACCTGGCCCAGTTTCCAGACACCATCACAGGGGCTGATACATCTTCCCTGGTGGAAGTTCGAGGCTCCTGTGTCAACAACTCAGAAGAGAAGGATGTGCCAAAAATGTACTGTGGGGCAGATGGTGAATGGCTGGTACCCATTGGCAACTGCCTATGCAATGCTGGGCATGAAGAGAGGAGTGGAGAATGCCAAGGTAAGAGGAGCCATATTGTACTTTTTTCATTAGGGCTTCGTGCACGTAATTAAATCAGAGATGAGACTAAATGGAGTAAAGCCAGTAATTAGCAGCCCCCTTGGGATGTGGTGGGACAGAGGGGTCTAATGAGTAAGTGCTATAGCTCCAGGTGGCAAGGCTAAGACGTTTCTAATACTGACAAAATAAATGATGCTGCTGTAATCAGCAGAAAGCCAAACACATTTGCTAACAGGCACTTAGATTTGAACCGGCTTGATGCGCCCTCTGAAATGTAAATGAATGAGCTGAAGAAACGGCCTTGATTGATCCTTACTTAAAGAGGGCGGACACATTTTCGAGCCATAGTCTTCCTGTCTTAGACTTGGTAAAATGACAAAGATGGTAAATATCTCTTGTCTTATGCATATGTGCATGAATGATCTAAATGTGAAATTAGGATTTCCAGTTCCCTCCCTTTGATTAAAATCGAGCTGTGTGAAGAAAGTCCATTTTTTTCCTGCCTATGGACCAGTGGGGAGGTGGAATGACAATGTTTTAAGTACATTCTGTTCCCTGAGCACCCAATGATAGGGTCTCTAAGTGAAATTAATCTTGACAGAAGAAGTCTTTATTTCTCTTAGGAGGTGATAATAGAGCTAACAAGAGTCTTCTTATTTGATCTGTGGTCAGAGGCAGTAGCAAATTGTGACCCAATTTACTATTGATTTGGGTTATTGAGTTTTTGAAGAAATCTACGGATTTTTATCATGTTAATTACTGCTTATTGTATTACTATGGTGATTTTTTTCCTCACCTAAAGTGCAGTGTATGCAATTTATTCTTGTCTTATTTCCCCTTTCTGTCAGTATAGGAGGCAATTGTAAAGTCTTTTGTTTTATGGCAGTTTTATATCTGAGTAAGGGATGAGTAATTCATCCTTATATGACTTGCTCATGTCATATGTAGATGCAGGTCTAAACATTTGGTTATCCCAAGTGTCTGTCTTGTTTGGTAATTGTTTTTCAGTGAATATCAATAGGATGTGCTGCCAATCCTGTTATGGTTACTACTAAACAGTTACAGTGTCACTCTGGTCTCATGTATAGAACAATCAGATTAATCATTCCTTAGGGTGGTTGCTGAGAGCTGTAGGCTGCATTGCCACATGGTTCATCTGATTTGGTGATTAAAGAGCTTGAAATAACTGACTGCCAAACAATTTGTCTGGCATTTCAACCATCTTAATGACAGGGTGGGATTAACTATGGGGTAATCCACTTGATTGACTGGAAATCAACAGTTATAACCTAAAGAAAATTGCATTTTTGGTAATTTGGTGTCATAGAGTTATGCATTTCTCTTTTCATAGTTTATACTTTTCTAAAGTGTCATTTCTGATTTGCTATGGTTATGTCTAAGAGTAGCTGTCAATGAATGTCCTTTAATCTCGTTGTAAATAAAACAGAATAGAGACTGGCTATCTTTCCTGTTGACCCAGAGTAAAAAAAGAAATTTGTAAACTTAAAAATTTGCATGATGGTATTTAAAGTTGTTTTTTTAAATATAAAGATTAATGGTTTGCTTTTAATTTTTGTTTGTTTTCTCTTGACTTAGCAACTACTAGATAAGCTGTACTGAACTGAAACTCTGAAGTATATTCTAGTATTACTATTAAAAAATATGTGAGTGCATTGTTATTGGCAACTAAATTACAATGATCATAGCAGGCATAGTGAAGCAGCAGTGAAATGAGTAGGGCAATGACACCCCATCACGTTTTAGAGTAAATTATTCTGCCTTTTTGATTTTTGTAAGACAGTACTTGCACATCTTCACATGTCAAGATTCTTATATATATTTTAAAAAGAGCACCATTGGCTTCCATTTCCTGTTAAAATGTTCACACTTTTAGCATTAGCACATCTTGGTGTATCTAATGCCATTGATTTTCAGTTGTCACAGAGCCCAATAACTCATACATTGCTACACTGTGAAACTCCTTGACATTTTTACAACCTAAATTCGAAGGAAAAGAGAAAAAGATGGTGGGCAAAGTGAATGTAAAGGCAATTGAACATTTTAGTGGTTTGCTTTATGGAAATAATCTTGGACTCCTTTTAATCACATGGTTCCTGGAAGAGGGGGTGGCTGAATGTTTCAGGTCCAGTTTATTTCTGAGCAAACTGTTTCCTAACATAAGACCAGATATTTAACCAAAGAAGAACGTTAATTCAGTTATTTTTGAAAGCCTTCAGTGTTTTCAAGCATGCTACCCCAGTTTTTGCTTGTTTGTTTTACTTTTATTTTTGTTTTGCTGCCAATAACATGATTTACTCTATCAAAATACATGAAACCTTGCACTTTGTTTGCTTATTTGTTTTTACTATTTGCAAGTGAGAATTTAAGATTAATTTAGGGAAGAAGAAAAATCTTGAATGACAAAGGATTCTTAAATTCCAAGCTTGAGTGAGAGTTTTTAAAGATGACTCAGACTGTAAAAGTCTTAGGAGTAATAAAAGTGGTTGACCCTATCCTTGATATTGTTACTGGTATCTTAGAAGCACCCAGGTGTAACCGAAAGAATATTGGAAACACGGAAATACGTATCATTTTGCTCATATAGCTGTATGACCTTGAGCACATTCCTTAAGCCCCCTGAGCCTTGGTTTGTTCATCTATAAAATGGAATAATAATAGTTATACTTAGTTACAGACGTGCTGTGAGGCCTCAGTGATGTAAGATTGGCAAAAAGCACCTTGTAGATCATAAAACACCTTAACACTAGCATTTCTTTTATTATCACTATGTGCCCAAGGTCATAACTGTTGATTAGAGTGTGGAGTTGAAATAATAAAAGGAAAATCCATGTCCTGACCACTCCTGGAAGTCAAGGCTAAAGATAGGAAGCATCCCTCTCCTTTGTCCTAGCAATAATATACATTTTTATACTTTATGTTGAAAATAATATTTGGAGGATGTCATTTTGTTTTTTTCCTTCTCTGTAGGAAAGAAAACTTTCCTTTAAAGGAGAGATAAGTGATTTGTGGGTAGGACAAGAAAGAGGATAAAAAGAGAGCTTAAGAAGGAATGTAAAGGAGAACTGACCAGATCTTCAGAACTCTGGCAAGCAGGTTCCTCCCCAATTGTCTTTTCAATGGTTCCACTGTGGCAGGACAAATAGAAGGACAGGTGAAAGGTCACTTACTTCCTCATCCATCTTCCTTGGGGTCTGGGAGGTCAGAGTGAAGATTGATTAAGATCTTAAATGTTTGACAAAGGACCCTTGGGGGGAGAGCTGGGGTGTGCTGTTGTTTGAATCTAACCCTGATGGTCCACTGGAGTCCTCAAGGGACCTTGGGGACAGGACTACACTTCCTCTTGCAGGTCTTACCCCCAACAGCGCATGCTGATGGAGAGGAAGGATGAGGGCAGGGGCATGGTGGGCTCGCCCGCCGCCGAAGCAGCTGCAAGTTCATTCTGCTCTTGAATAACATTTTCTGAAATGATTTGATTTGGTGTCAGTGGGACTACAAAGAATGTGAGCTGCTTACCAGTCCTCTGAAGGAGAATGGATGACTGAAACCACAGCCCATTGAGCTTGCCTAGTGATTGGGTGCAGAGAATAACACAACTATTCTAGTTGGTCTAGTTTCTAGGCCTCCGCAGTCTGTTGGAAAAAGGAAACAGAATCCACCTTAGACATCTCCTCCTCTGACACACCCCAAGTGAGGAAATGTTCCAGATGTTTTACAGGCGTTGTTTTCCTTACTTCAGAAATATAAAGCAAAAGGAAGAGAGAGAAGGATTCCTTATTAACTTATTTTTCTGCCTAAATAAAAAGGTTAAAAATGAAAGGAGAGCTCCAGATTTATTTTTGGGAAATAGTAACCAGCAATGTTTTCAGAGTATATATATATATATACATATATATGTAAAACTAACAAAAAAATTCTCTTGGAGTCACTCTTAAGGCCAAATAATCACAACTGTAGCAAAATTTAGCTGGGTAGGAATCAATTTGCTAAATTGCTGTATGTTGGTGCCATAGCTACCTAGGACCTATGTTACGTATTATCACATATATAATGTATTCATATCAGCAGAAGGTGTCCTATTAGAAGCTCTTTTAAGAAAGAACAAAATAGAAATGCTGTAAAATAGATGACTGTAACAGAAATATTCTAAATTTGTGCTCTGAAAAGAGAGAGCTGTGTCAAAAAATGATTATTTTTCAAATATGCTATAGAAGGAGCTTAGAGAAATAATGGAAAGGAAGCATTTAAAATATAGTTCAGAGATGCTGTTTCATATCCTTTCCACTTTTGAAATTTTTCTTCTACCTTTGAATCGTGTCATTAAGAATCAATTGCTTGAATCACATGGCTCTTTTTATCTCTGGCTTTGAAGCATGGCTGTGATCATTGAAAAACATAATTCCTTATCTATGAGAAGAGCAGGGCTTAATTATTGTCCTTTTTCTGTTATACTTTTTATTTTTTCTTCTTTGTGTGACCAGGTTTCTTTTGTGAATGTGAATCATGCAGTGGTCTCTATTTTAGGCTCACCAAAGCATCGCATGGGAATTATCTCAGTTAGGGATTTTTTAATATGGTCTTCAAGATTTGATGGCTTATTTTAGCCTAACTGAGCTTCCTTGTACCTTTCAAAAATGAATTAAGACATAATTATTCTGTTAAGACTTGAGCCTTTAGGAAAAAGACTGATTAAGTGATTTTTCAGCTACTGCTGTGCAAAGCAGAGGTAGTCATCATATAAGTTTGACTTCCACATCATTGAGCTTTACTACTTAATTTGGGGGGTTTTAATTGATGAATTTAACATTATTAAAGAACTGCATGCTTATCAGAAAAATTTCCAATGCATAATTGTATGAAGTAAAAAGTGTAAGTCTTTTACCCTCACACACACACACATACACACACACACACACACACACACACACACACACACACACACATTCTATTTTCAAACTTTTACTCCAACTTTTTATAAGTAA